CATAAAATAAACAAAAAATTTTTTACAAGTCGGTTTTAACCACTTGGAACTGGTTCGTATAGAAAGAAATTGTGACTTTATTGCGTTCATGCTTACCTAATTAAGTCGTTAATTATTAGAAATTATCAACAAAAATATTAACAGCAGGGACGGATAAATTCCATTAACGTCGTTGTTGTTGGTTTTCTTCTTCTTGTTGCTGCTGTTTCTGTCACCATAGTTTTTTTTTGTCAAGGGGTAGAGTGATGAAGGTGCTACTGCACAACGTTGGCGCTGTCTGCGCCTTGCTATTTATTATTGTTTTTGTTTGTGCTTTTGCTTTTTTGTTTTTAAACAAAATACACATAAATTATAAAATAAATATTTAAAACAAAAAGCAGTACTCGAGTCTGGTGTTTATACCTGTTTATTTGCTTTAAACAAAAAACAACAGAAAAAAAAACCAAAATTGTCATAAAAATTTGTGTTCACCTTCAGTCTGGTGATCTTAATTTATTGTTGTTGTTATTATTTTTATCACTTTTTTTTTAAAAAGTAAATATTTCTCTATATATCTACTTTAAGTTAATTTTTTTTTTAAATATTTTTATTGTTGCAGTATGTAGTTTGTTTATTAAAGTTAAAATATATGTAGTTTAATATTTATTGAAAACTAACATATTTATATTTTGATGGCTTTGAGGGAAGGGAAAGCAGTAATTTCTAATTTTATTAGTTCAATAGTTCAAATAATTATCACTGCAGAAAATTTCAGGTTTTTCCACATAAAAAATAATCATTGCAAAATATCACGGAAAATACTTTTAAGCAAAGCATTTATATATTAAAAAAACTTTATATAACAATCGTTTGTTTTTTAATAAATTATAAACACTGATAAAAACATAAGATTTAATTATGACGAGAACTAAGTTAAAAATAAAAACACTCTAAACGAACGTAAATAAAGCGAACAACTGAATCACTTAATAAAAACAGCTGCCAACGAGCATGGAACAGTGTTGCAAGTTTCCCCCATTTCCATAACAAATAATTAAGGGAAAAATTTTTTTTGTTATAAAAATTTTTAGTAATGTTTGAGTGAATATTTCAAAACACATAATATTATTATAAAAAATTAACATAAGATGAGTGTAAAAATGGAATAATAATAATGATAAAGTATTATGAGTATATATATATACATATATATATTATTATGAACACACTTATTAATTCAGAAGAAAGTGTGCAAGCAACACTGATATTTGCTGTCACATGAGCAGAGTAGCTGATGTTAAGTCATAAGACAAACAGTGACAACAATATTAAAATTCATTTATGAGTCTTTTTAGAAACAGGTGGAAATTTTATTAAAATTATACTCAATTTTTGTACTCAAAATTAGGTACATATATTTAGGGCGAAGGACTTAGCAGGCCAGTTCCACATTTCGAGTTAACTTTAAAATTAATTTTAATGTTAATTCACAAATAAATAAATGTAAAGGCATGTAAATAAAATTATATTATAAACAATTACTTAACTTCCATAATTTCGATTATTTCATTAACAAATCATATGGTACACAATAAAAGCCGTAATTTTTCCGATCAGAGTAGGAAAAAAATGCTCGCAATTTACGAAAGAAAACAAGTTAATCCAATTTAACGCTCTTAGGTCGTGTGCGAGTTAGGCAAAGTTGCGTTCTAAATAAGGGAAATTCTAAGATAAGCCGATAATGTAGTGATGTGTCGATACGTGCTGATAAATGGCTAAATGTGTGCAGTGCAAAAAATCCCAAAAATCTCCCATTTGATTTAGCATCAACTTAGCCTAACTCGCACACGACCTTAGTATCTTCAGAGTTAGGTTTTACTAGTAAAAATTCTTACGTCTTAATATTCAGTGCAGCCAAATTCAAAAATTAATCTTTTGTGAATAATCACTGAAAATATGTTGCAAAATTATAGTCATCCGTTAAAATCATATAAGCAAAAATAATAAATAGTAATATATCAAAACAATAAGTTAAAAAATGCTTACCATTGCTCTACTATTACACATTCTGTTTTCTTTAATTTATATTAATTAATTTTTAATATTTACAACATTTATATATTATATTGTGCATAACAAAACAAAAAACCATTTTTCAAAAAAAAAAAGAGGATATATTTCAAAAGTGATGCCAATTTATTGCAATCAGCCTTAAACCTTTTTTTTTATAGCTCTGAAAGAACAAATTACTACGGCTTATGTTAATTTAAGCAATTGTAGATAAAAAGTCTTTGTTAAAAATTCGTGTCACAAAGTCATTATAAAAAAATAACTTCAATTAATCTACTTTTAATGCAATTTTTTTACCATAAAAATAAATTATAACTTTAAAAACTTTTATTCAAAAACTAAAAAAAACTTGAACGATGCTTAAAACTTTGTAGTGATGGAGGAAAAAAAATTGAAAAAAAACAAGAAAATGTATTAAATATAATTATTTTTTATTAAAAAAATATTTTTTTTGCGTATACATTTATGTAGAAATAATTTTATTTTATGTTTTTTTAACGATAGAAAGTTTTTTATCTTAAAATTTTCTTTTCTAAATTGAAAATTCCTTAAGCACGTTTAGTATATGAATGCTATTTTATTATAAATCCGAACTGCTGGTAACTCTGAATGGAGCTATTTCACTCAATTCTAATAAGAGTGAAAAAAATTCACAGTCGCGATTTCACAGTTAACGAAGCGTCAGTTATGGAATTTAAAAGTTAAATACATTTATTATTTCTAACTATAAATATACAATGTATAGTAATAAAAAACATTTATTGCACAAAAATAAAAATTGAATCAAAAAATATTAAAAAGTAACTAACATTATTTACAAATTTTTTATATTGATATACACACCACACATGTTTGCACATTAATTGAAAATTAAATTTTGCAGTTTAATTTTTAAGGTAAAAAAGTAATTACATTAAATTATTAATACATATTTAAATTTTATATTTAAATAACTGAAATATTTAAAGTGAACTTAAATAATTTTATTCGGTGATTGCAAACACATATGAAATATTAATTTTGAACGAATATTGACAAAACTGGAAGTACCTGCTAATATTTAGAATAAATAAGTAAAATAATTAAATTTATATGAATTTGATTTATGTATATACTAATGTAATAGATATACATACAAATTGCAAATAAGGATTACAAAATTTTGCACAATTTTTAAAATTAATTCAATGATGAAAATTTTAAGCAGTCCATACTCACTTCAATTTTAGGGGGACCATACGCCATATAAATCTTTTAATTAAAAATTACTTAACCATCAATTTAGGGATGAACATTTTACAATTATAAACCCAACATTAATTCTATATATTAGCGAACCTATTCTGTGCACTTTATAAACTTGTCAAACATTGACACTTGTCAAAATTGACTCCTGTAAAGGTTTTAGTATTCTGTGACATAAATAAAAAGGTATTTTTCTTGTTAGTTGTCGATACCTTAAATGCAGTTGACAATTATAAAAATATGCTCTTTTTAAGAATTTTTTTTTTTTTGCATGCATGACAAATATTCTTAACTAAAATATACGCTCTTTACAAGCATATTTTTTATTTATATTTGAATGCATGGAAAATCCCGCCATAACAATCCTCAAGTCCACTTCTGGACTCTCAGGAAGATATGCTGATTTAAGGTCCGTCATCAACTAAAAGACAAATAAATGATATGATTTTTTAGCCTAGTTAAAGCCTAGTGTGGGGTAGTGATTAACCCCCCAGTCATTATAGAGTAAAAGTGCGTAATAGCACTAACTCAAGAAGAAGAAGAAGAAGCATGGAAAATACCTTTGGTAACTTAAAATATGTGCTTTTTACAAGCATTTTTTACGAATAGTTACGAACAATTACGAACAGTTTTCTATACAAAACACTTTACACCATAGTGTGGTGAGAAGCACTAGGTACTTGAGCTTTTAAATTTGTCAAGATGTGTCCAGAATACCAAAAAGCTTTCTGCTTTATAAAAATCAAAAATTTTGTTAAAGAATTTGACAAATCTGGCAAGTGCACGGAATAGGTCCGTAGGTACGTTTTCGAAAGTATTAGTTATCATGTAGGACCTAAGCTCGTTTTATTACATTCTTCCATTCTTCTCTATTTTTGACTTTCATCTTCCAGTTAATGACATATCACTTAGATCATGTCGAACACTGATCTCTAATCACTTCATCTTTCTTTCAGTCTTCATTTCCTTCTCGTTTGTTTAATTTCACTATCTAAGATTATGGTATCCGCACAACGTGCCCTATCACTTCATGCGTTGATTTGTTACTTTATGTGCATAATTATTGTGTCACCTTCCATAAGTTCATCAAGTTCAATATTATTTCTTATACGATATTCTTCGTTTTTTTGCACTGGTCTAAATACTATTCTTATAATCCTTCTTTCAAATACCACCAGTTTGTTTGCTTCGGCATCAATTAATCTCCAGGTTCCACTCCCATAAGTGACTACAGGCTGTATAACTGTTTAGTTTTATGTATGTATAAAGTGAAAAATATTACATAATCATTAGCCATGAAATTAAAGCTCGCCAAAAAGACACATGAACATGTTTTTATACTGATGTATTTATATATAACTAAAATAAACAGCGACAAATCAGTCAAAATTTAATAATTGATATCATTAGTACAAAATTGTTATATAAAAGTAATTAATTATAATTATATAATTATTATTACAACAAATTAATACAAGTCCTTACAGTGTGTTAAACCCATAAATATTTTAGGGACATTCATTTTCTAACAATTATCTAAATAATAAAATAGTGTTAAAACAAGAAGAGCATTTGGTACATAAATATAAAATAAAACTCAGTATAGAAACTGAAGGATTGGATTGTTAATCTTTACTACAGATTATTGATTATCTGTAAATCGATTTCCATGTCACATATAGACTGATTATGTGTTGTCATAATTTTATTTCATTTTGTAATAAAGGACAGATTGTTGTCAAAATTTGACTTGTTAAAACATTTAGTTAATTTAAACACATAAATATAATTAAACATATTACAGTCCTGCTAATCTAAGTATTAAATTCGTACTATTGAACATGCGTTCGACTAATATTTTGTCCAAGTACTGAATAAATAACTTAGCATACGATAAAACTGACAGATATAATCAATTTCATTATGAAATGCTACGGAAGAGCTAAAAATTAATACTAAAAAATATCTGACACTGGTTTTACAATGTATTTTGTTGTTGAGTCAATGTCCTTCTTTACTAAAATGCACTATATAACATGATATAAATTCCACAAGTTCAGCTAAGAAGACGAAGATGACTGTACGCGAGTGTACGTAAACCCTCATTTCGCTGTGTATATTACTTCTTAGAATTTAAATTATAATTTCTTTAAGTGCATAGAATTAATTATGCAAAAAACTGTGCATGTATATTTAAGCGCAATATTAATAATAAAATGCATATTATATTATGATGTTCACAATTAAAATTGACATTTTTAAGGGAAATTCTTATATAGGAATATATTACGTCAACAATACTATTAAATTAATATATTGTATTAAAATAAGATTAGTATAGATAGCAGAATAACCAAATGAAAATTGTAATTTATTAAAAATACCTTCTTTATCGGAATTCATGAAACAAAACAGATGAGAATTATAAAGTTGTTTATATATATACAAGCTGCTACTGTTACTGTTATAATTTTTAGAACTTGATCATATTATATATCATTAATGTAAAAAATGTTGAGTTTGTTAACTATTTAGTGTTTGTACTGTTATAATTTTCATGCTATCATTTATAAAAATTGTTTGTGCTCTGATAAGTAAAGAGCATTTAAAGAGGTAAATCATCAATAATATATAAGAGGCATGCCAAAGCAACAAAGACTTTTAATAATATAATAGCGACAAAAATTTTTTTTGGTAAAACCTCTTTATTTTACTCGAAACACTAACCATCTGACTGCGTTTGGCACAATCTAAAGGTATGTCGATGAATAAATGCTTTAGAAAGATGTATTTTAAGATATAGGCGTTTTAAGCGTTTTGTTAGAAATTATGTTTATCTTAAATTAAAATAAATAGGTTTTTCGAACAGTAGTGAACTACAACAACAAAAATTAATTTTATATTATTTTAATTAATTAAATTTTTGGCTGACCATACAGCTGTTTCGGGTATTGCCAAAAACCCATCATCAGTGGTCTTGGAAATAATTCTTGTATTTAATTCTTCGTAAATAATTTTTTGAGACTGCAAGTACCAGGAATCGAACTAGTGTCCTGTTAAATTTGAAGTTCAGAGTCTGGCGTTTTGTTAATTTGTTGTGAAAGTTTATATTAGAACGAAATCATAAACCAGCTGTAGAAAAATTGAATTAATTTAATATATTTTTTTGTTTACGTATTTTTAATTATTAAATTTCAATACAATGATGTTTAGAAATGATGAGAGTTCTCACGGGTTCTACACATTGTGTAGGAAGTCATATTATATTCTTAATTCGATAACCTTTTAGTTTAAAACCATATTATTTTTGAGTTTTATCAACGCATTCGTTTGAAATAAAGACTTATAATATAACAAAAAGTATTATTGATAAAATTTTGACGTATTTTTGATGAAAAGTGAAACCATTTAAAATTTAAATAATTGATACCAACACATCTTTGACTTGACTTCAACAATGAAACATAAATAAAAACTACAGTTTCATTTTTAAATCCTTTGAGATATTATTTTTTTCTGCTCATGGTATAATTAATTGTAATAATTAACTATACCAATTATTTTAATGTTACGATTTGTCAAAATTTGTTAAGTTTGTTTTCACTCAAATTATTCTTTAGAAACTTTTTGACTTAACTACATCTTGGATACGTCGACTTTAAGTGTTGAATACATAAATTGTCACACAAAATTACAGAAGGCAAATAATTCTGAAAATCCTTACATACTGTCACAAATCCTTTGTACGTGACAATTTCAATAATACTCGCATCCGTTTCTGTAGTAGACGTCATGTAGACATTGATAATTATAATAATTAAGTTTGATATAAAATCTGATTTACTTGCCTTTATTATATTTGAGGTGCAGGCACGTTTTTGACAAAGAGTGTGAAATTGGAATTTTTAAAGGATATTTTAAAAAAAATTTTTCAATTTTTATCAATTCACAAATCAGTAAGCCAATTAAAAAGTTATTGACCCTTTAAGCACTATAGTAAAGTGCTTCCCTTCACATATTTAAAGATAAAAGAGTGCTTACATTTCAGTAATTGCCGTATTCCATGCCAAACAACAGTTGGAAAAACTTTCGAAGTATATTTCACATTTACCTAAACTACTTTTCATAATCTAAGAGAACAATAACCCGTAGTATATTCAACTTTTTCGGTTGAAAAAGTTTTCTTTGAGAAATTTCCTTATACGAGTATACACAGAAGCTACGTAAAAAGTTTTAACTTTTCCTTTGAGATCATTGTGCTTAGAAAGTGCGCTACAAAGAAGATTTCGGTATGCTGATTTCATCACATAATTATTTATTTAAACAAATAATTTGAATTTTTTAAAAATACTATATTATAAATTTTTGTGATAAGTAAAACTTTTTGTAAGAATGTGTAAGATTTATTGTAACATTTAAATTATTTATATATTTATCAATTTATCTGCTTTTCCATTATGCATTTATTTATTTAATGCTTTTAGGTACATATAAATAATTATAAAGGGTTTTAATTAATTATAAGTTATGATTTTGTGGCTCTAAGTTTAGGGTTTGGATTTTTCGATATAGATTGTTTAAAAACCGCTAAACCAAATACAATTATTAAAATATGTTATAAAAATCAAAAGATGATTTAACACAATTAGGAGTTTGGATTTGTCATTTTACTATTTGGATTGTTTAACAACCGCTGAACATATCAAAATTCTACTGCAAAAATATTGACGATTTTTTACCACCATGATATTTTGTTTGATAAATATATTAATAAACAAAATTGTCACATTTGAGGCCACGAATATCTACAAGTAACTGTGGAACAACTATTGCATCCACAAAAACTCACTGCATGGTGTAGCCCTTACTGTTTCCGAAATGATAACAGGATGACATAAACGTTTCATTCTGACTGGATGAAACGTTTATCGTCCAATTTCATCAAACACCAGACATAAACTTGGTTTTCGTTAATCCAGGATCAATCTTCGAAATTAATCCTTTTCAATTATTTATGGAGGGTCATCTACCTTTGGTCATAATTGTTTGCATTGGATATTCAAGTATTTAATTCGATTTCAATGCGTTCTATGAGCTATATAACTGTTTTAACAAAAATATGTTGCCTGAATTATCGTCTTTCGAACACATATTCCTCTGACATGTTCAAATTACTGTTGTCAGATATATAGGTACCAACAGTATCTAGTCACAAAAACCTATATTATGTTAATGATGTTTTTATTTTTAAATATGTAAATACTTTTTTTATACTCTGAGATAGTGTTCTGAGTCTTTTCCAAACTATGCATAAAGATATTATTTTAGTGTCTTTATAGACAAATCAAATTGGTAGGGTATTCATTATTATTGCTATGACCTTGCTTATTAAAAACTTTATTTTACTTAAATTTTTTCTTTTTTATTTAAATTTATTGCATTTTAGAATTTGTTCCGTAATAATGCCGCATGAGCTTCATTATTATGTGGTCGCAGATGCATGAAATTTGTCTCAATACTTCTGAATTTTAATCTAAAGTTTACTAACTATCATAATCATATAAGAAATAATTTTATTAAATCTATATGTAATATTAAATATTAGTATAACAAACATATCTGCTTATTGACCGCTAAAAATTTTATATCTACGTACCTTAAGATGAAAAGATAATTTTAAAATAGTTTAAAAAAAAATGAAGTGTGGTATAAGCTCGTGGAAAGAAATTTGCTTTCGGAAGGAGTTGTCTTTCAGATAATTAATTTAATTTAATTTTGTTCCATGCAAGAGACCATAGTTCTGGATAGAATGGTCAGACAAAAATTTAATTAATTAAAAATAATATAAAAATAATTTTTGTTGTTGTAGTTCACTTCTTTTCGAAACTTCTCTATTAAATACAATAATTTCTATTAAGTCAAACAGTCACTATGCCTTATAGTAGAGGCCCTTTGTCCTTCGCGGAGAAGAGGACTACAGTAGTACAAAAAAAAAATAGTCACTATCGTCATAACTGACGTTAAATTACAATTTATAAGAAAAACATATTTTTTGAAAAATTAATTTTTAAAATTAATTTTTAAAAAAATAGTTTTAAAAAAAATTTTTTTTAAAAACAAAAATGTCAAGTACGGTTTCGTGTCAGTTGGTTAAGGTGCGCTGATTCGCAGGACAGGAATTCGATTCCTGGTAGTTGCAGTCTCAAAAAAATTATTCATAAATAATTAAATACAGGTTAATTCCCAAGACCACTGATGATGGGTATTTGGCAATACTTGAAACAGCTGTATGGTCAGCCAAAAATTCAATTAATTAAAATAATATTAAATTAATTTTTGTTGTTGTAGTTCACTACTGTTTGAAAAACCTCTTTAAAAATTTTTTTAAAAAAATTTTTTTTTTTAAAAAATGATTAGTTTTAATTACTTTTCGATTACTTTTTGTGTGTATCTAAAATATAAAACTTCATTTAAAATATGCTTTAATGAAAATATCAGAAACAATTTAAATTTATTAAACATTTTCTTCAAGATAGATGCCATAATCTTCTTCTACTGTCGCAAATGCGAAACTCTTTAGACCGTTTAAGTTCGTATATCAAATTTCGTAATTAAATTTTCGTTAAAAAAATTTAACTTTTCAAGTGAAAAGTCCTTCTTCAGTGATTGGTGGTAAAGGTGCACATCCAAAGGTTTACACAGAGTGCGGAGCCATAGTTTCTGCTCATTTGGACGGTTTCAAACGTTTCATTAGCAAAATTGGCTTTCCTATGCGGAAATCAATCTTTATGTCTTGTCAATATTTGTATGTACTATATTTCAGTAACAAGGCACACGAGTACTTTGTCCTTTGTCCGTATGCAACGTAGACAAA